AATTTTGTATGTACACATGATTTTCAAGGTGATTTTTCTGTCACTTGACAGGAAATCGCAAGGTAGGTAATATTACTTTCAAATTTTAATATATCAGAAGAATGTGAAGAATGTGCCATCTTTTATTACACAAGGCCATTCTTAAATAGGCTTACATTACTTACACTAAAACCGCAATTGAAAGGCAGAGCAAAATGTACCCAAAACCGAAGTTTTGGACATCATCTCATTACTAATTTTACCACTAAGTTTTAATTTCCTTCCATTGGTTCAAAATAATGTTTAATGTTTATTTTCGCCACACTGATGAGACCTTTTGAAATTATTAAATTTCACACATGCAAGTAACTTTTTCATCAAAGTCATATATGTTTCTTTTTTTCTTCACATGTCTTCAGGACTGCTTCTTCAACATTTTCTTCAGATATTTCATTTTATATTTCGCTTTCATCAGCTCATTCTTTTTTTTTTCTTCATGTGCCATACTTTTCTTTGGAGGGCTTTAACAACTGCATCCTGGTTTTTTTTAGTTTTGTCATGTTTGGAGTCAATTATTGTCCTTTTTTCAACTTGATCAGCCAAGAAGTGTTTTTATTGTGCCATGCCCTATGAATAACTTCACGCCCTATGAATAACTTCACTATCTTTCATCTTTTTATATGCACTAAGCATTTTTCCACATTCCTTGTCACCGATGTGCTGGTGTCATCACTTGTGCTGGTTGGAAGCAACTAAGACACAAACGCCATTCAAGGACCCCTTGGACGATCCATTTTAACCCCCCCACCCCGGACAAATGGCCGTAGTCGACGGAAACCCCTTTGACACTCTATTGAGGGCATTTTGGCTGTAAGACAACCCATGGACATCCTATTTTAGCTGAAATAGCCCCCCACAAACACACTACCCGAGATGGATACCCCTTGGACACACTATGGAAGGCATTTTTCCTGAAAAAATCCGCCCAGGACAAACCATTTCACATACATCCCATCCCATGGACGGATACCCCCGGACATTAGGCAAAAATCCACATATGATAAAATATGAACAAAAGAATTAAGTGCCTTCCGTAGGAGGGTGCGGATATTTTCTGGAATCGTATCGATTTATTCAGGGAATAGACATAAACACATACATTGTTATCACATATATCCCATATAGCCCAAGCAATATTTAAATACGACTGAAATTTAAAGTTCGCAAAAAAATATATGTTCTTGCTCTTGAATTTGATTATTCCAAAATTTTGAAAACAAGAATCCTAAGTCCCCTACCGGGTAATAACCCCAGCAACATTTTTGATTTTCAATGTTATCCGGTGAATGAATGCCTTTGATATGAATTAAATCTTTTGATTTTAGTTTTCTACTTCACAGTAATGTTTAAGTTTCCCTCTGCCTGTAATACAATTATTATATACTTTTGTCATTTTTACGATGTTGTTCGATTTTAAAGTACAAGCCTATAAGGAATGAAGAAGTTGGAGTAAAAAAATACCAATTTCTCGAAAAAAATCTAAGTTCAAGGGGGACATAATTCTGGAAATAGTCCTTGCTAGAGTATTTAACCTTATTCAAAAATGTTGAGTGATAATAAGAAAACATATATATGAAGTTTGAAGTAGATACATTAGGAAATAAAAAGAAGTTATTTAAAAAAGACAACATTTTTTTTCATAAAAATTCTAAGTTCAAGGGAGGTAATACTGATAATTTTTGTGCTAGAGTTGTAAACCTTGTCACATATGATGTGGTTGATGACCAGAAACTTATATTTAAAGTTTGAAGTAAACACCTTAAGACATAAAGAACTTAAAGTGAAAAAGCTGAAAAAATTAAATCAGAAATCTTGAAAATCCAGGCTATTTGTTGCCATAGCAACCAGAATTTTCAAACATAGGAAGAAAAGAAAAAGATGTGCATAATCTGCAGACTGCCATCTACCCATATTTTATGTTTCATAAAAATATTTTCAGTAATTTTTGAGTTATCACTGGATCCAGTTTATGTGTTAAATTTGCCATATTTTCAGACTATTTGTTGCCATAGCAACCAGAATTTTCAACATAGGAAGAAAAGAAAAAGACGTGATTAATCTCCATGCTGCCATCTATCCATATATCAAGTTTCATAAAAATATTTTCAGTACTTTTTGCGTTATCGCGGGATCCAGTTTTGTGGACGGACGGACTGACTGACGGACTGACAGACAGACAGACAGACGGACAGACAGACAGACAGACGGACGGAGGGTAAACCTAAAGTCCCCTCCGGTTAAACCGGTAGGGGACTAATAAAACAGAAAATCTGTAAAATAAAGGTTAATTTCTTACATATAGTGGTGTTCGCCATAGAAGACAACAAGACTACAACGGTACCTCATTTCATTAGTAAAAATATTTGTCTTCACTTCCGGAAGATACAACAACAACAACTACAAAACGTTTTGTAAACATTTTGGTTAAAACTTTATTGGCACACACTTCAGATTGCTTCGAAATCAAAGAATTGTCATGAAATAGAAAGTCTTTAGACGACAACTATCAAGTTCCGCCAAAAGACGGAAATCTGAACAGATCATTTACGGTAATTTATAATCTAATTTCCTGTTATAAGAAATTATCAGATTTATTTATCCACATACTGCCAGTTTTCAATCACAACCACTTTTCAATCATCCCTAGAAATTCTTTATTTTTGACCTTATTTGTCATGTAACCAAATTGTAAGCACATCTTGCATTTGCCTTGACTACATTTATCAGCAGCAAAGTCAATTATGGCGATAAAAAAGAAAATGGAAGTGGCTAGCCGTACGGGCCCGAACGGCTAGCCAAAAGTTCTAGCCGTACGTGAGTCACGTACGGCTAGCCAGGAAAACTGTATTGGCTAGTCGTACGGCACTTTTTAAAATTATATGGAAGTCGAAAATGCATGTTATTTTTCGCATTATAGCGAGAATTTTAACAAAGAAACAGCAATTGCCTTCGTATGTTACTTTTTAGAGATTAATCGCCATGTTGGCTACAATAAAGAAAGTACGAATATCGACCAGATGACCAGAAAAAAAGAGCGTTTGGTTGCAGTTGAACAACAAAATTGTGATAATAATCTGTTTCAATAAGTTTAATTTTCAACACTTTTAGAAATGAAAAAGCACCGAAAATAATTGTTGCTGGACTCTAATAATTGAGCCAATTACTGAGTCCATCATTAAGGAATGTTTGCATGTTCCGTGAAACGCATTCTAAACTTCTATTGTCAGTCCCTAGATACGCTTTGATTAAGGCTAACTGATTGTGCTTTTATGTGCAATATTTATCTACTGTATTTAAAAAGTATACAATTGTTAAATTTTTGCATTCTTGTTGTTTTTTTTTTGTTTTTTTTTGTTTTTTTTAATGTTCTTTTTTTTATTCCACTCCGATCATGCCGTTATGAAAAAGCTTCTTTTGCCGTTATGATTATTTATTCAATCCATGTGTTTAATTAACAAAAAATGATTTAATAATTTATCTTTCAATAACAAATAAAACAACAAAGCATAAGCATGAAAAACAGCCACGTTTATAAATTAACTTATAACATGCAACTGTAATACTTTTATCAAGATTACCTTCGTATTCATTTTTTTTTATCGTTATACTCTGTTGATTACACAGAGGTTCGCCTTTATAGGCGGTGAAGATAGACAACAACAACAACAATGGCGGAGTATATTATATATTAACCTTTTCCCTTTATATAAGCGTGTTTCGACGCTTTTTTTGCCCCCCCCCCCCCCCCTTTTTTTGAGGCCTCAAACAGTGAAAAAAAAATGCCCTATTTAGGCCCAAACACTGTCTTTTGTTTGAGATATGTTGTTAAAAAAAAGTGACCATTTTTTTCGGCGCCGTCCCCCATCCAATATTACATCAGGGGGATGCCCAGAAAGGGGGATGTGCCCCCTTCTGTTTGGGGGGTTTGAAGGGGGCGGCAGTCCCCCTCATCGCCAAAAAAATTTTGGACTTGTGAGAGGCTTTAAATGACCCCAGGTCGATCATAGGTAACGTGTAACCAACGCTGAAAAGCCTTTGACTCATCTCAATCCCCTTGAGAAGTTGCAGCACTTTGAAATAAATTTTGATGGAAAAATTCGAGGCAAAAAAAGGGATTTTTTGGCAATTTTTCGAGATGTCCCCTCTTGCCCATGGTAACAAGAAATTTAAGACTGAGCATGTCGTTACAAAGGGCAATGGTCCAGTCAACATTTGGTGCCAAGTTTGATTAGTAATTGAAGCATTTTTCAAAGTTTCATAGCAGTTTTCGAACTTTGTAACAGGAGGCTTTTCAGTGAAAATGGCCATTTTTCACAATTATGCTCATGGGGGAAAGGGTTAACTAAAAAAATTATAAATGTTACAACAACAATTTTCACCAAAATTAGGTAAAAGACCACATGTTAACATGGAAAAACTTGATTTTTGGGTGATTTCGAAGGTTTTTCATCATTTTTGTTAACCTTTTCCCTTATATAAGCGTGTTTCGACGGCTTTTTTGCCCCCCCCCCCCCCCCCTTTTTTGAGGCCTCAAACAGTGAAAAAATGCCCTATTTTAGGCCCCAAACACTGTCTTTTGTTTGAGATATGTTGTTAAAAAAAAAGTGACCATTTTTTTCGGCGCCGTCCCCCATCCAAATATTACATCAGGGGGATGCCAGAAGGGGGATGTGCCCCCTTCTGTTTGGGGGGTTTGAAGGGGGCGGAGTCCCCCTCATCGCCAAGAAAATTTTGGACTTGTGAGAGGCTTTAAATGACCCAGGTCGATCATAAGGTAACGTGTAACCAACGCTGAAAAGCCTTTGACTCTATCTCAATCCCTTGAGAAGTTGCAGCACTTTGAAATAAATTTTGATGGAAAAATTCGAGGCAAAAAAGGGATTTTTGGCAATTTTGAGATGTCCCCTCGTTGCCATGGTAACAAGAAATTTAAGACTGAGCATGTCGTTACAAAGGCAATGGTCCAGTCAACATTTGTGCCAAGTTTGATTAGTATTGAAGCATTTTTCAAAAGTTTCATTAGCAGTTTGAACTTGTAACAGGAGGCTTTTCAGTGAAAATGGCCATTTTTCACAATATGCTCATGGGGAAAGGGTTAACTAAAAAAATTATAAATGTTACAAAACAACAATTTTTTCACCAAAAATTAGGTAAAAGACCACATGTTAACATGGAAAAACTAGATTTTGGGTGATTCGAAGGTTTTTCATCATTTTTTTTGTTAACCTTTTCCCTTATATAAGCGTGTTTCGACGGCTTTTTTGCCCCCCCCCCCTTTTTTGAGGCCTCAAACAGTGAAAAAATGCCCTATTTAGGCCCCAAACACTGTCTTTTGTTTGAGATATGTTGTTAAAAAAAGTGACCATTTTTTCGGCGCCGTCCCCCATCCAAATATTACATCAGGGGGATGCCAGAAGGGGGATGTGCCCCCTTCTGTTTGGGGGGTTTGAAGGGGGCGGAGTCCCCCTCATCGCCAAGAAAATTTTGGACTTGTGAGAGGCTTTAAATGACCCCAGGTCGATCATAAGGTAACGTGTAACCAACGCTGAAAAGCCTTTGACTCTATCTCAATCCCTTGAGAAGTTGCAGCACTTTGAAATAAATTTTGATGGAAAAATTCGAGGCAAAAAAGGGATTTTTGGCAATTTTGAGATGTCCCCTCGTTGCCATGGTAACAAGAAATTTAAGACTGAGCATGTCGTTACAAAGGCAATGGTCCAGTCAACATTTGTGCCAAGTTTGATTAGTATTGGAGCATTTTTCAAAGTTTCATAGCAGTTTGAACTTGTAACAGGAGGCTTTTCAGTGAAAATGGCCATTTTTCACAATATGCTCATGGGGGAAAGGGTTAAAGTGAACACACAAGGAAAAATGCGGGGGACTTGGTTAAAATCCTCGTTTAAAGAAACAAAATAACACATGCATTTTCGACTTTCATATAATTTTGAAAAGTGCCGTACGGCTAGACAATACAGTGTGTCCTGGCTAGTCGTACGTGACTCACATACGGCTAGAACTTTTGGCCACTTCCAAAGAAAATACCAGTATTTTAGTTCAAAATATGTAAAATGTGTGTTTTCCACTAATCCTTTATTTACCCAGTTACAAATCGCAATAATTTTCGAAAAATAAATGATTTAAAGACTCAGTTTTTTGTCAGTCTGCAGAAATGGATGTTTAGTTTGACAACTGTTTCAATATCATTAAGTCATAATGTATACTGCACTTCAAAAGCGGTATGCCTAAAATACGAAAGTGAGATTTTTGACGAAAGTGAGCAGAGTGAGCGAAAGTGACTTTGACCGTTTTAATAGAATTTTGTAAACAGTGATTTTTCTGTTTGTAGACGTAAATTATTAGCAACTAATAATATTTCTTTTAAAAAATAATCACTATGACGATTTAGTCGCCATTCATTTGCATAATTTCTATAAACAAGTTCTAAGATCTTCCTTTTGCTCACTTTGAAAAATACGAAAGTGACTTGTAAAATATTAAATTTAGAGTTTAAATTGAAATTAATACTAAAATTGCAGTTTGTAGACGTATATCATCAGAAATATATAATATTTATTTTCAAAAATAATCATTATGACGAGTTAATCACCATTTGTTTGCATAATTTCTATACACAAGTTCTGAGATCTTCCTTTCCCTCACATTGAAAAATACGAAAGTGACTTGTAAAATATGAAATAAAGCGTTGAATTGAAAGTAAGTTATACTAATATTGCATTTTTCAGGCGTATATTATCAGAAATTAATATTATTTATTCTCAAAAATAATCATTATGATGATTTATACCTTTTTTTTTACATAATTTCTATATTCTAAGTTCAGCAATCTTCCGTTTGCTCACATAGAAAATACGAAAGTGACTTCTAAAATATCAAATATAGTGTTTAATTGAAATATAGTGTTGAATATCAAATTATTAAATTCTGATAATATTAATTTCTTATAATACTCGTCTATAAACTGCAAATTTAGTACATTTTCAATTTAAACTCTATATCCAATACTATACAAGTCACTTTCGTATTTTTCTATGCAAGCGAAAGGAAGATCGCTGATTTACTTGTACGATATAGCAATTAGGCAAATAAATGACGATTAAATCATGATTATGGTTATCTATTATAATATATATAATTAGTTGCTAATAATATACGTCTGCAAATAGCAATTTTACTGTAAAATTCTATTAAAACGGTACAATTCAAATTCTAAAAGTCACTTTCGCTCACCCTCGTCAAAAATCTCACTTTCGTATTTTAGGCAAACCCCTTCAAAAGCTATAATTTTAATATGTTCATATTTTACAATACAATTCTTAATTGGAACGTAATACATCAGTAAAGTTACAGTCACTTAACCAAGGAAAAACATTCTCTCTGATTAACTTTTCAGAAAGCTGTCACTAGAATGGGGTCATATAGACCCTAAGATCCTAAAAAATTAAAATTTCACAAGAACAGGCTTTTTCTGTTATTCACATTGAGATGTACATCCATACCCCAATTGTGACAGCTTTACTACTGCAAATAAATATCAAGATTGAAAAATGGCATAATAAATAGGTTAAAATTGTTTATTACCATTTATCTGAAATTGAGTTTGTCAAAATTTCTTCAAAATACATAACTGGTTATATTTTAACATTGTATGACAATTTTTATGTGGTACAGTTTATATTTTGTTAACTGATTGAAAAGTGGTTCAAAAATTTTGAAGAACAAGAAATTGGGTCAGAAATGATTTGTCCTTGATTCATAATAATAATTCAGGTAAAATTTTAAAAAGTTGTTGCATTTATTAGCTGAAATGATAATATTTGCAGAATTGTAAGAGAAATTTTATTTTTATAATTTCACTGTCAGTTATTATTGAAAAATCTGTTAGCTGATCGGAAAGAGGCAGTACGGGGATACTAATTTGAAATTATCAGGATCACAGGCACAGACAATTTGGTGTTTGACACTGTGCTAACTTTGCACATTCCTAGTTAACACTCACTAACTTTAAACCCGACTGGGGCACAGGTAGTGTTGTTGGTAGTTTACACTCCTGATCAGGCCGGGGGCCACATAATTTGAATTTACCAGACACAGTTCAGTCAATGCATTGTTCTTGTGCAGACTGTCCAGCAGTTTACCAGTACTAGTTGCCTTCATTTTCGCAAAGAACTGATAACTTCTGTTCTTGCCCAGTGATTGACCTTTTCGAAAACCTAGCTTAACACCGTTTTCCGGTGCGTTACGTATTTAGCTCTAGGGACCCGGAATTACACCAAATGAAGGACATAACACAATTACATGATTTTTTCTTTTCTATCATTACTTTACCATTGAAGTTAAAAACAATTGATGTGTTTGAAATTAATCAAAATTCCTTTAATACCTTATGCAATTTTTTTTTTTAAATAATTGTTTATAATGAAAATCAATAAAGTCAAAACAGTCGTAGTGACTCACTACGACTGTACAGTGACATCTTCAGTAATAAATAGAGATATTTTTTGCGTAAACTTGTGTATTAACTTCAATTTTTGTAATGAATTATTCATACAATGATATTTAATTATTTTCTTTAATACAATGAAATAACTGTTTTATTTCACTTTAATTAAAAAAAAGGCCAAAAAAACATAACAGATCATTATTACACTCCATTTAGGTGAATTCCCCAGAGCTATGTACAAGAAGTACCGGAAAACGACATTTAGCTAGGTTATCGAATTCGTGAATTTTTCTCACTGAATTGGGAATCGGCCTTTGCCTCTTGATTTTGGGAAAAATTATCGCTAAAGTTGCTAATTTGGGAAGTAAAAAAACAGGTTTAAGTTAAAGTAGATCATTGGGAAAACTGCATGATTTTAAAGAAAATTTCAATTGGTAAGAGGCCTTTTATTGGAGTCTGTTATAGAAGCAGAAAAATCACTGTAGCCAGAGCAGAGGTACAGTGCAAAGACTGTAGAAAGGATTTCATGATCAATCACAATGAAACCCAAAAGTGACCTGTGCTGTCCTGAAATCAATCTCTCATTGCCTGATTCACAGCCCAATGCTCCACCTAGTTAACCGTACAGCTTTGATGGGGGCACCTCACTGGCGGGTGACCTGTGGCATGTAGTCCATATTTATTCATGGTAGATTTCAATGGGTTACACAACTTACCGGAATCAACCTATTAACCGGCATCAGCAGGGAATTATCAGAATTGACCTGTAACTTTAAGTGCTTTATATCCATGTAGACAATTTTACAAAAACTTAGCCGTTTCCATTAAAATATACTGCAAAAAATAAAAAAAGAGTAAGTCTAAAATAAAGGCAAAAGTTGGGACCGAACCTTACACCTCTCTATAGAGTATAGTAGGTAATCACTTTACTGACAGTGCTAAATATTAGTTAACTACTCCATTATCCATAATAATTCTTGTATTAAAACAACTACACCAACAGAACTGAAGTGAATCGCACATTTAAATGAGCGCTATTCTTTTTTCAATTATTCAATAGAATCAGTTTTATCACTGTGTAATTACATGTTAATTAGTTCTTATTATCAAATAAATTTCAAACTTATTTATGAAACAGGAGTCAAATATTTGGAACAAGATTATGATTGTGAAGTCTTATATAATCATACTTAAACTTGATTTTTCATGATGGGATTGCATGTCTTTTCTACAATAGAGAAATTGTATGATTTTTTTTTCTATTTTCAGCAATAATCATGGCTACAGCAGGTGCCAGTATTTGCACAGACTCTAGTGATGCTATTGAACTGTATCAAACATTTGGCCTATACCTGAAACCTATAGCGCGTGTAAATGTTTGCGTACAGCTTCCGCCGTTGAAAGAAGCTGGGAAATCTATTTCAAACTGGGAAGTGATGGAGCGAATCAAAGCCATGATTAAACCACATTCATTCACATCTTTGAAAATAATCAAAAGCACAATGGAGTTTATAAGATTCGAAGGTGAGGCGGAGAATAAGGATCTAGTCACAACTATTATGCAGAGATTGGAAGGCAAGTCGATTAAACTAAGTGGGTTTCATGAACAATTAAAAGTAAAAGCAGGCGAGGCTAAAATTCAGTTTCCAAGTCGACATGATTGGGATTCATATTTCAGAGACGCGAAAAATATGAATGAAATGAGACCCGGTGAAAGACCAGATACTTTGTATATAAGAGACACGCCAACACGATGGTTTGCATCGAGACATTGTAAAGAGAAAGACAAACCGAGTGAAGAGGTGTTAAAACGAGTGTTTTGTCAATTTGGTGAAATACGTTGTGTTGATATTCCAATGTTAGATCCATATCGTAAAGAAATGTCTGGACTTGTTAAATCCGGCTCGATTCAAACATTTACATTTGGTCAAGATCTAGTGTTTGATTGTTATGTACAGTTTAAAGAATATATTGGTTTTGTAAAAGCAATGGACAGGTTTAGAGGGATGAAACTATTATACATGGATGAAGATGACAAATGTGCTGTAGCTAATATAAAGGTATGTTAATAATGATCTATATACGGTTACCTTAACGTTAAACATCCATACAAAGCTTAAAATGTACAAATGTCTCAGGGGCAAGCCATTGTTTCCTTGAGCAAGAAACTACACTGTCATTGTATAGAGGAACATATTTGATCATTTGTCTTAAGTTAAGGCTTATTGCTTCCTAAACAAATGAACTAAAATAAATTCTGTATATAAAAGTTAAAACTAAATTACTAATAAATTTGGCTTTTTTTCCACTTTACAAATTTTCATGTATAAATTATAATGACAATCAAGTAGCATAAAAAGAACATTTAAGCTGGAGGTTAAAACAACATTAAAATGGTTTGTTTAATTACATTTTGAGGTATGGACAAGTCATTTGAATTACCAAAAATGTGTTAAGAAACAAAATACCTATACCTGTAGGATACCTGTAGGATGATTCTGGGCTCTGATGGAAGGGCTAATCCCTTTTTAAGCCCCTCTTCTTTTGACAAACTTTTGCCACTACTTCATATAAGTCACATCACTTTTATGTTAATTCATATTCACTTATGCTTATTTATTATATGATTTTGGTTTTAAATAGTAATGATTTTGTCCGCAGTTTCATTTTTATAATTACTGAATTTCTTTTGAATAGTTAACATTAGCTTATTTAGCTCATATCCTCCCAGGGCTAAGCGGCTTGCCTCTATGCTGTCAAAATTGTAAACACGGCCATTTGCCTTGTAAATCATTTTGCAGCATGCCTTCAGAAATAACTGGCTAGAACCCTGGCATGAATAAATAAATCTTTGAGTTTATTTTTTGTATTTATAGTTAGAAATTTCATACTGTCATGTTTTTGTAAATCTACTTGAATCTTAGGTATGTACTGGTATATTTTGTCAAAGACATGTATACGTATATACATGTAATACAAATACATGTATATGTTTCATTTTTACAGGTAGATTTTGATAAGACCAAACACCTGTCAGACAAAGCTATCAGGAAGCGACGGTTAGAGAGGGAAAGACTGGAGCAACTAGAGAAGGAAAGAGAAGAAAGAGTGAGGAGAGAAAGGGAAGAACAAGATAGAAAAGTGGCAGAAGAAAAGTAAGTTACCATTACTTGTCTCCCTTTATATAAACTATTCTATTAAAGACTGTTTGTCCATACACAATTTTTTCACTTACTTTCCTTCAAGAATGGATGTAATAGGTTTTAAACTCTTTCCCAAATACATTATCCACCAGGATTTTGTTGAATCTTATCAGTCCTAGGCATTAAATGATTGATCAACTGAAACAATAATGATTCTGGATGTTACTATGAACTGTCAACAAATCGTGTTATAAATATTTTAAGATCTTAAAGTTTTACCTGTCTGTATATATGTCAGAAGAGCTTGCAAGGAACATTTCTAATGACTTTTCACCTTTGCTAATACAGTTTTGTAATGATGAAATACATTTTGTATACATTATTTTACAGCTGAATAAAGGCTGTTTCCCCTAGCACAAAATAGGTTTATTAGTCCCCTACCGGTTTAACCGGAGGGGACTTTAGGTTTACCCTCCGTCCGTCTGTCGGTCTGTCTGTCTGTCTGTCTGTCCGTCTGTCTGTCAGTCCGTCAGTCCGTCCGTCCACAAAACTGGATCCCGCGATAACGCAAAAAGTACTGAAAATATTTTTATGAAACTTGATATATGGATAGATGGCAGTATGGAGATTATGCACGTCTTTTTTTTTTCTTCCTATGTTGAAAATTCTGGTTGCTATGGCAACAAATAGTCTGAAAATATGGCAAATTTAACACATAAACTGGATCCAGTGATAACTCAAAAAGTACTGAAAATATTTTTATGAAACTTGAAGTATGGGTAGATGGCAGTCTGGAGATTATGCACATCTTTTTCTTTTCTTCCTATGTTGAAAATTCTGGTTGCTATGGCAACAAATAGCCTGAATTTCAAGATTTCTGATTTAAATATTTCAGCTTTTTCACTATATGTTCTTTATTTCTTAAGGTGTTTATTTCTAACTTTAAATATAAGTTCCTGGTCATCAACCACATCATATGTGACAAGGTTTATAACTCTAGCACAAAAAATATCAATATTACCTCCCTTGAACTTAGATTTTTTAGGGGAAAAAATGTTGTCTTTTTTAAATAACTTCTTTATTTCCTAATGTATCTACTTCAAACTTCATATATATGTTTCTTATTATCACTCGACATTTTTGAGAAGGTTAAATACTCTAGCAAGACTATTTCCAGAATTATGTCCCCCTTGAACTTAGACTTTTTTCGAGAAACTGGTATTTTCACTCCAACTTCTTCATTCCTTATAGGATTTACTTTAAAATCCCACATCGTAATAATATGACAAGGTTGTATAAACATAATTTCCTTATTAAGCATGGAAACTTAACACATTACTGTGATATAGACAAACTTATTTTATTATGTTTTGTGGTCGATATTTTCAAATACAGACTTCATCCTCAAATTCATTATAAATGGCAATACACAGGAGTGTATTACAATTAAAGAACTTTTTGAGGGACCGGTAGGGGACTACTGTATTGCCCGCAATACTATCAAATGCTTGTTTTCCCATAAAATTGCTATATTTTCCCCTGTGCACATTCTTCACCAAAACTATTAATTAAGAGCAGCTGCCTTATATGAGTTAGTTGATAAATTTGACTGAAACAGTGAAAGCTGTCCATATGCAAAGCTTCTTCCGTGTACCATACTTGTTAAATTGAATTGAAATTATAAAAAAAAAAGTTTGGGCAAATTCCTTCGGTAGTTGTTGGAATTTGATTTCAAGTTTTCCCCCCTCTCTGATTTATGATGCTATATTTTATATGTTTTGAAAATTGAAAAGAAAATCACTTTAAATGTTTGTTTATGAAGATGTGTAAGGTATAAAATATTGACATCTGAATTTTTTCCAGACGTTTAAAAGATGAGGAGGAAATGGAACGAGACAGGAAAAGGCAGGAAAAGTTACAAAGACGCGAGGACCGAAGGAAAGAAAGAGAAGACAAAAGAAAGCAGAAATATCTCGAACAAAAGAGGTTTGAGGAGGAGAAAAAGATGCAGCTAAAAATAGCGCTGGAAGAGCGAAAATTCATGCTGAATCAGCGGAAATTGGAATCATTAAGATTGCTAACGGAACTGTTTGAGCGTGTTAAGGTATGTACATATGTCATTTCCTTCCATCTGTTGACTTTGTTGCAAGGAATTTTAAGTTTTGGAGTCAAAATGCAATGGATATAGAAAATATCACAATCAAAAAGTACTGGTTTGTTAACATGCAAAGTGCCCAGCTAGCTTACAGAACGTCAGTGGTTCTACTCTGTTGTGTGTTTGTGCCTAAAATGATGCACGGAAGGGCACCTGAGGTCTTCCTCCACCAATAAAGCTAGAACATGGCCATATGACCTATACTGTGTCTTTGACGTAAAAATCAATAAAACATGCAAAGTGTAAAGCATCATTACAGGTTTATAATGTCCTACAAGAAATTTTAATTGGGGTGGTGAGAAATTAAACTCGACCATTTAAAGGGTTACACTAATATTTCATGAATTATATATTGTACATTGGTTTTCACAGGTGATAAAGGTCAAAGAAGATTTAGAGAAGAAGGAAATAGAGCTAGAAGAAGAGAGAAAGCGCCAGGTTGATCTTGAAAAACAGAGAAAAGATGAAGAGATGAGGAAGAAAAAAGAAGCAATAAAAAAGAAAAAAGAACAATTGAAAAGACAAGAACAAGAGCTCAGGGAAAAAATATTAAAGAACTGGAAACATAACGAGGAACATAAACAGGAGCAAATGAGAGAAGAGTTACGTAAAAAGTTATCAGGGAAGACGAAATTGAAATCTGCAGTTGTGATGCGGAGATGACTAGACGATGTGCTAGCTGAACGAGAAGATGAAAGCAGTACCAGTAGTATGATTGATAAACTGCCATATATAATAGACACAAAAATGGTGCAGCAGAGGACTTATGACTCTGATTACAGTGACGATTAAAGCCATAAATCTTATTTATTGTAAGAGGGTAACAATTTTTTTTTTCACTCTTTACGGGAATTCTTTATTCCTTTAGATGAAAAAAAAGACAATTTCTGAGAATGCTTCACATGTCTCAGGGACAGCAGAAAGGAAAAAAGATCTAGCCCTTTTTTGTTGACATTTCAAATGTTAAGTTATGGAAGGGAGAAAACGAATGGAAAATGACCTGATCTGATTCTATGAAATGCAGAGAGCAATTGATATAAAGACATAAACTTGGTGTTTTTGTTTCACATGTAAGGGAAGGCAGAAGAAAAAAACACAGGTTTGTTGACTCAAACTTGTAACTGTTAACAGCATTACAAATTTATGTACGGAAGCAGATATAGCCTCATATAGGTAATGGTGAGGTTCATATATCGTCACCTCAGTGCAATAACAGGTTAACTCCTATTAAATTTAGAAGGACTTAACCCGTTACTGCAGTAAGTTGACAATATGACAAGATGTTCTTGTTGTTATTTCCAGTCCACTTACTACTTCAGTAATGATCTCAGTGAAATTGTTCATCATTTTTTGTGTGTGTTAGAATAGGATGATTGTTGTTTCAATACTGCCATATTAAGCAGCATGCCTCCAAATTCAGATAATTTCTTTTTAACATTATACACACATGTATATAGTGTCTTAAATAGTAATTATATTGTGAAGTGAACAAAGATTGCAATTTAAAGTAACATCTAATGTACATGTTTTTGTAATCCATAATTTTAAAGTACCTCAAATTTTTCAGAACACATGTATCAACAAATAGGCATAGTCAATGAGAAAGAAAATGTTGAGTGGCATGAAAAACATTATTTTAACTATAAATATTTATACATTTTTGAAAATTATGATATATTTTTTTAGGAGCTTCTTTCGATTATCTGAATGTATGTAACTTTAAACTTGTGTGTTTGCATTTGTTAAATAGGTATTATTGTGAAAATGCCAAACTATCAAATATTTGTTTAGATATGTGCAATGGTAGCAAAGAATGGGGTAGGTTGAAAATAGGCCAAGCAGTGCTTTGTAAAAAGGATAGAAATCACTTACCAGATTTAAGTTTAGTTTTTAAAACATTTATTTAGATGACAAAGGATGAAAAGTCAAAACAATATTTATTTGATATTCTATGTTACATTAGTTTCCAGACAGGAACCGTTTGTCTTTGTTAATCTTAATGACCAGTATTATTGCTTCAAAAGCACAATGTTCTGTTAGACTTGTTGACTTTGTTGGAATTGTTGTGCCCCCATTTTAGGGGGGCATTTAGATTAACCCTTGTTTGTCTGTCTGTCCGTCTGTGCTACTGAATCCCTATTCAGATAGGGGGCCATCTAACTGTAAACAGAACAAAAGAGATCAATAGAGTTCATTCCATAGCAATGGAGTAAGGGGCCATTGGCCCTCTATCAAACAAAGGAAAATAGCAAAAGATTCCTCTTATATCATTTCAGCTGGATGTCCATTCGTATGTCTGTCTCTCCATCTGTCTGTTTTTATTTTTGTGTCGCACGTAGCTCAAGAAGTATTTCAAGAGTTATTGCCCTTGACTTAGTAAAATTTTCAATTTTCAACTTGTGTCGCTCATAGCTCAAAAAGTATCTTACCTAGGGTCATGAAACTTTACAGGAATGTTGATCAGCATGTGTTGTTGTTAAGGGTGTAACGGTTTACCGGTATACCGATATATTGCAATATGAAAAAATAAATTTCGAACCGCGGTACGATTTTTGGAAAACCGGTATTTTATAAAAATCATCATTTTCAATTAATTGCCTTCTAATTTTGTACAAATTTCACATAAAATCTTTAATTGGCAAAGTTTGTTGGCGCCAACGTAAGATAAAAGTATCTGACAACTAGTACACTTAAAAGTCAATAAGCGGCCGCATAATTTACATAAGCGGCCCAAATGTGAAAGGTCACACGCGACTTGTTTTGTTTATCAAATTGTGTGACACTACTTTCTATTTATTCCTTACATTTTTATTAAGTTTCTACTAAAAATATATACATATAATAATAATATATAAATGTTACTTCATCTTTACATCAAAACATATACACGACAATACGTATTGCAATATATCGCAATACGCTTCAGCAAAATTGCAATATATTGCAATACGGTTTTTGCTGTATTGTTACACCCCTAGTTGTTGTGCACCTGCGTATTTTCGTGTGTATTTATTTAGTATTTGTAGAGTTATTGCCCTTGACTAAGTAAAAATTTGCAATTTCAACTTGTGTCGTATGTAGCTCAAAAAGTATTTGACCTAGAGTCATGAAACTTTACAGGGATATTGATCAGCATATGAAGTTGTGCACCTTGGGGTTTGCTTGAGGATTTATTCTGTATGTGTTAAGTTCTTGCCCTTTACTTAGTAAAAGATTTTTAGTTTTCAACTTGTGACACATGTAGCCCAAAAACTATTTGACCTGGAGTCATAAGATTGACAAAACGGTGGAGTGTGGGGGCACCCGTGTCTATTGGACTCATTTCTAGTTTTTATCTTTTTTGCCTTTTCTTTCAAAATTGAAATGAGAAATGTGTCCCATGATTATCATTTTCTATTGTTAGAAAAAATGTTATCAGTTCTATTAAAGCAAATAACTTGGCCATGCATTTACTGTATATACAATGTTATACAATGTTTGTTATTTATAGTACACATTGTTGTCTAGTAAGGTAATAAGTCAACTTACAAGCTAAATATTATTGAAGTTTTTCAATTTATTAAATTTGTTGAATTAAATTCAAGAAGTTAGAAAAGAAATTGCTAGAATTTATATCTCACAGAGAAAAGGCATTTTCCCATTTGAAAACTGAGATACATTTGTATTTGTAAATGGTCTTCGGTCGCATTTCTAGAGTAAATTACTCTTCATGGATTTTGATAAATTGTGCTTTTTTGCACATTATTTGGCAAAGACCTGCTCTCATTCTACTGAAAAAAACATACAATACTGCTTTGTAAATTGCTATTGTTTATTGAAATATGTGACAGGTACAGTCAAAACTGTGAACAAAGGCCATTCAAAGGAAGAGACAAAACATGGCCATTATAGACAAGTGGCCTTAATAGACAAGTGATCTGTACTTGGAGACAATTATGTTCATTTAAAACAATGAAAGTTTGTCGAAGAGTGGTCTTTATTTGCAGGGTGATCTTTTTTCAGAGGTGGTTTTTAATACGGGTTTGACTGTATAATTAATTTGACTATATTTTTTGAAGGTTTTTATGATAAATAAAACATGGACAGATCATCATGTTGGCATTTTTTACTGAAATTACATAATATGCTGCCATTATTATCTGTTTTCATTTCCATTTTTAAATATAACTCGTTACTAAACATACAGATAGAATCATGACTGCCAAATAGCATGTTTATTTTTTATTCATATTTGATATTGTTTTTACCTGTCATGCAAAGTCAGTAATTTTAATTAGTCTCATTGAAGATGTCAAATCTTTAGATTTTCAAGTGAGTGTTGTCTCTTATTATGATGCTTAATATTTTAAGTGGACTTTTAATTTTTAATCTGGACAATACCTTTCATCATTTTTAAGGAAGAATTTAATATGTGACAGAATGACCAGTATAGCACCAGACCAGGCTGTATTCTGTTGGCTGACTGAAAATTTTCATCTTGTTATCCACATAAGTAAGTATGGACAATTCATTGCCAAATAGGAAAATGGTCAAGTCCATTATACAGGTTAAGGGCCAAGTTAGTTTGTGCATGGAAAAGCAGTGGCATTTTTTGTTGGTTATTAACAGTGCTACCCACTAAAAAAATCTGGTTTGTCTTGTAACAAGGCATTCATTGACTTTGACTGATGAAATCTTTGAAAACGTCATTCTAGTCTGTATGTCTTTTTCTACAAATGTATTTCATAGTTTGGCAGTGGTTTTTCTCATTTAATTTCTTGATTTTGGGAAGAATTATCACTAAAATTGCTATTTTGGGAAAGTAAAAAAGCTTGTATAAGTTCATATTTTTGGGGAAAACTGCATTATTTTAAAGAAAATTTCAATTAGGAAGAGGTCTTTTATACGCCTCTGTTATGGTCAAAAATCATTGTATGGAAGAAGCTTGAATTTTTGCAATGAGATATGGAGCTATATCCACATTTTTTTCTCATTTGTTTTCTGTTATTGCTCATACAGAAATGTTGATGTTCCATAAGTTAATGAGTTTTATATTACAAAAATCACTGATTGTTTTATATGTTTTGAAAAATAAAGACAGAAATACAGTTACTGTAAGTGTTTCTTTATCTTTCTTTATGCATAGACTTTTATGTCACCATTGGACAAAACTTAGGATATAGATTTTAAGCTTTTGTAACAGCGTTTCTAAGTCAAATGGCAAGACTTATTACCAAATATGTTTAGAACCAGGAAGTTTAAACATATTTATTTAAACTTCATTGCAAAACAAGTTCTTACAACTTATATTAATTAATTCCTGGAACATACCAGTACTGGTGCCATATGAAAAAATATGGTCGTGACCCAAGTAGGACTCAAACCCATGATCCCTGGGTTGAGAGGCGGACCTGTAAACCACTAGCCCCGCTCCCCTGTAATGGTAATTAAGTACTAATGACCACAGGGGGCCCACACAGTGTTTGGATGGTATATACTGCTTGATAGTGACCTTAAAATGAGATTTTAGTCATAACCTTATAATATGTATATAAATATAGACTATATTTATATACATATTATAAGGTTATGACTAAAATCTCATTTTAAGGTCACTATCAAGCAGTATATACCATCCAAACACTGTGTGGGCCCCCTGTGCTAATGACCATGTACATTGAGATTTTTAAGTGCCACACTATATAAATGCAGCTGATTGGAGGTGGAATTATGGTCAAGACAATCCTGAAATTATTACTCACATCAAAGCTGGAGAAATGCAGCTCAATACGAAATCCACATAAATGTGGTTCCCAATGGACTCGATAGGAAATTTTTATGTAAAACTTCTCTATAATCATCTATTAATTTCTTCTCTCTTTAAACAAAACGTTTACTTTTAACAGAAACCTATACATGTACAAGCTTCTTACATCCAAAATATTAGACATAACAGCTTGTTGCTGTAGGCAAGCCTTATATATCAGTAGCTTTGCCCAACAGTAAAATTGTATTACCCTTGGTACGTCTTATTTATAGGACTAGCTCCTTATGGGGACATAAACATTGACACATGTTAAACCAGAGAATGTTCAAAGGGAGTTTATGTCTTTAAAAAATAACAATAGTACAATAATATTAAACAAAGTAAACACAAATCTATACAGATCTTATTCTAGGTGACATGTGTTTTAATAATATACTGTTATAAAAGGTGGCCTAATAAAAGTCTCCAAACCCAACTACTTTATTTAAACTGTTGTCGTTGAATCTAAACAATATCAGCTATATATAAAATCTGAATATTAAATTATAGCTCCCATGTTGAACTACATCTTCACAGAGAAAACTCCTTAACATTAATTCTAAAAATAATGCTACCAAAAAAAAAAAAAAAGAGATGACAACAATATTCTACTATGTTAGTCGCCAGAACATAAACAATGATATCTCCACGTCATTTTCTCCAACACAGCTAATATGACTTTACGATTTCAATTCAAAGACACTGCATGGCATTATTTTACTAAAACATGAGATAGCGACTCGAGTCACACTGGTTAGCACTGTTTTATTGATTTATATCGATGCTAATTAATTTTTAATTGATCTTAAATTGCATCGATTTCGGATTAGTCAAATTCGGACAACATTCTAGTTCAGCAGCATGACATACTTTAAGTTAATTATGCTTTCATGTAGAACTTATGCTGTTGAAATCCAATACTTTTTTGTAAATTATTCATTCTTTCTCACTAAATAAGATGCCATTGTTTTGAAAGAATTGAGAAATTGTACATGTAATTTCAATTGACATGCAAGTGTAGTATATGCTATAAATTTGACCAAACTTTTATACATGTACTAGCAATATTCTGGCCAGTAAAATTTACTAAAGTTGCAGGTTTAATTTAGTTTGATATAGTTTTCATTTTGCAGTCAGACCCATTGTATAGAATGATTTTGTATATTGTCAGTGACATAGTCTTATTTCGTGAAATTTTTTAGAAGACTGACTATTTGCTACTTATATTATTTATGATCATATACATATATGTATACATGTATGTTTATAATTTTATCAACAAATTCATGATGTTATTATCTCACAGTTGACTGAAAGTTTACTATGGGGCAGCTTCTGCAGAGGTACCTAGTTGAAGAAGACGGTGGCAACGGACAAGTGGAACCTGGGGCAGTTATTCCTGTCAAGTTTCCAGACCTTTCAGCACTTCCTCCCGAATTAAGTCTCTTGGTTTTGTCTAATCTTAATGCAACTGATCTGTGTCTTGCAGCGTGTGTCTGGGATAAACTAGGAAATGACGAAATTCTTTGGCAAAGGTATAACTTGAGAATGTATTATTTGACACATCTCTTCTTAATTAGGTACATGAATGTGTAATTTGTGTTACATTTATTTTGTCACTTTTTTTTTTGGTAGATGCATGTGCTTTCAGCTTAAAGTGATCATTTGATGTATAAAACTGTTTTTGTATTGTAAAAGAAACATTTGCGATTGCTTTTACACAGTGTTTTTAAATATTATAAATTAACCTGTGCAATTTTATTCACTTTCTTAAATGCTCTGTCTTTACAGCTTATGTAAAAGTTCATGGGGAAGTGTAAGCATTTATCAGAGATGTAGGAATGATCCATCATTTTCCTACCGAAAGCTTTTTCTTTGTCTAGATGAAGCAACCTTGACCTTTAATGGAGACCCTTTTAAGGTAAATTAATCACAACTTTTTAACAATCCAAGGAAGGTTTATGATTTTATCTTTTTGTTAGAGTTACCAATCTTTAAAATTCAGATATTGAGATTTGTGTTCTGTAATAAGAAAAGGTATTATATTTACAAGGCACAAGGAAGCTTAATAGGTCAATCACAGCTAATTTAACTAGGAGCAAGCCATGGCATGAAATAATGCTCACCACTTAAATTGCTGAATTTATATAATGGATTTGCCCATCTTTGAATAAGAAAGAAGCCATTAAAAGTTTAAAGGATTCCAAAACACAGAAATCGAGAAGCCAACAGTATAGGTAATAGTCAGCCTGCATAGACTTGATGTGCAGTCTGAGCTGGCTGTTTACTGGTGACATAGGCTAAGCACTTTGGGTCGCAGCATGTTAAAGGTTTAATGCTCTGCTTGGTTCTTTATCTGTCAATAGAAACTGTTATAAGGTATTGATGATATTGGACAGGTTGTGATTTAAAATTTTAAAAATTTATTTAGACATAATGTAATTCATATTAATTTTATAACTATACCTTTTACTTAGTTAAACAAAGTTAATTATTTTACAGGGAGAAGAATACCTTATTTCTAAAGGACTTGTTGATGACAGTCCAATAGAGCTTGCAAAGTTTATCCATACATCCCGGAAGATAAAAGCACAGCCTAGGAGAATGTACTTGGATAGAAGGTAGACAAAAAATTCTATATGGTCATCCCTCAAGCAAAAAATGCTTTTCTATTGTATTAAATATATAAATTGAAATACATATTTGTTAAGAGGGAGAAATAATGGTGACCAAAACAAAATAACCTATTTTTATTTTTTTTAAAAAGCAACAATTTTCTTGTACTTACTGTCATTGGTATTATGTAGCAAAGTTGCTCTGTAGTTTTAAGTCAAAACAGAAATGATGTTAATTTTATGTAGTATTCTAATGTTTAGGGTTTTTTTCTTTTTGTTCTTTCATTTTTTTATTTAACAAGCTACATGTACCTACTTTGCAGCAGAGTTCAATATATTGCATTAAACATGACACACTAGTACATAATTATGTGCATTGATAGCAAACAATGTAATAGAAAGGTATGGATTTCCTTGTACCTTTGTTATTTAGATTGTTTTGAATAGCACCGATATTCTTACTGTATAATATTGCTGAAAAAAATATTGTGTCATATTATCAAAATAAACCCTTCATCTGGTCAAGATGCCATTACCTGACAAGTGAAGAATTCTGTGTCATTAATGAAAAAAGTCACACCTACCTATATATAAAAGTGTTGAACTACATGTGTATACTTCAACTGCTATTGCACATTTATTGACCTGCTTGAACTAAAAATGATCAGCCTCTGCCAGTATCTTTAGGCTGGCAAGGTTTTCATCTTGATATCCCCAAAGTTGATAATGACCATTTCCTAACTTGAAGCTGGACAAGTTCATTTGAGAAATTCAGAAGGATAAGAGTAAATTAAAAATTTTATATGTTTACAGAAGAGATGTTTTGGACCATGTTATGCAGTTACAGAATTATGAGAATCAATTTCTTCCGAATGCCATGAGAAAGTTATTCAGTACAATATCGGCACCAGCCGAGCGTGGTAGCTACCTAGAACAAATCATTGACAAATTTGCTGAAAGATTTTGCAACTGCAACCCAAATCTTGGTCTTCACAAAGGTAAATTGTTTTCATATTTAGAAGGACCTTTGTTTTGACAAAAAGGGATACATCAGAATACTTGGTGTAAAAAGATTTTTAATTGCTGGTAACTTTTACAGACTTGCTTAAATATTTGAAAATTGTTGATTAGAAACACTAAAATTTATAAGATGTAAAATAAATGTATATGTACATGTATTATGCTTACATTGGTAAATAGTATTTTTAAATGAGGTTCCTCTCTGAAATGCAATGAAAAATATTGAGTATTGACTGACGTGACTGGAGACTGTCACAAGAGATTTCCAAATGTTTCTTTCCGTATTTTTAGTTTTTGCTGATTTATATGTATACCTTATTATTATTTCAGATGTTGTATACTTCCTTTTTTTTTTCGTTAAATTATTTTGTGGGTTTGATTTTGCCCCAGCCCCCCTTTGTTAAAAAAAAATTTGCCAAAAGGGGAAATTTATCAAAAAAATAAAAAGGGGACAGCAAGGGGGGTTGGGGACGGGGAATTTTTGCCGGCCCCCTTTATTGACAATTTTTATCTTGTGGGCCATGAAAACCTTAAATTATTTAAAAAAAATTTCAGATTTTATTTTTTTAATTTTAAAGATGTTTTTGCCTTTTTAGGGTAAAAGGGGGTGTCTGTTAAAACCCTGAAACCCCCTCCAGATGACCCAAACTATTTAAAGGGAAAAAAAATTTTAGAAAAATTACTCGTTTTCAAGAAAAAGAAAAAAAATTTTTAAAATTTTTCAAGTTTTTAATTTTTTATATTATTTGTGTTTATTGACTGATTTATGCAAATTTATCACCATATTTCTACAGGGTGAGTAACTCAGTTAGAGCTATTTTTGCATATTTTGACCTCATTGTGGTAATGGTTAATGCCATTTGCAACATGTTAATTACTTTTTTTGTTCGCAATATTCTTACTTTTGAATACATTTTCAAACTTTTTTATGAAAATTAACACAAATCTGGAGGCATGCTGCTAAGAAGACCAGCTTTGTAGAAAGAAAACTTTAATACCGACGACACTAATGATGATCATCCTTACATATGAAATCAATTTTATGTAATTATTGCATCATCAATTTACTTGAAACCACCTGTCTTGATCAAAAGATACCATAATTATGACTTTGCCGAACATGGAATGACTGAAAAAAAACCAACAAGATACCTTTTTCATGGAATGTTGCTAATGTATATGTTGGTCTGTTTCAAAATGATTTAACCATATAATATAGAATCAGATATATAAAGATTTATTGTATTATACCTAATATAGACTAGTTTTTAAAATCAGGTCTTTTTGTTGTGAATATATAAGTTATTGTTTGTTTATCATGAAATATGTAGATATTTCAGGTGCATACTGTAGTATAACTTGCGCTTTTTATTTGATATTATGACATTTATTATTGACACAATAGTGCTGTATCATACTGTGCTTAGATTAAGCTTAAGATTTTTGCTGATCAATTGTATGGAGTGCCTTTTCCAATCTATATTAGGAAAGGCGACTGGTTTAATACATGGATTGACAGTTTCCGAACTAGCAGACAACAGGCTATTCTTATCAGTAGAATTGCGAGTAAAGATAATTGATTGTGTATCTAACTTATAAAAATGGTCTGACGTCTGACTTGTGGTCGGTTTAACCATCAATTTAAATACCTTCAGTGTCAAACAATGTGTTGAAATATATACTGAGGCAAAGCTAAGATCACAAGCTTTTCATTGGTGTAATAAATTTTAAAATCGCCCCAAACTAGCAGTTTAAAATACGGCTAAATTTGCATTGTTTTAGCATTAGAGATATTGATTTTTTTTCTTGAAAATAAGGAAAACAACTTGTGTTTTTTCACTTGATATACCTCGGTTATTTACGTAGTTCAAATAGAGACTGTCAATGGGTGTATTAGGAACAATTATGACATAAGTGACATTTTGTGAAATTTGAGAAATTTTCCAAAGGTTAAAAATCTACCCTATACAGGTATAATAGTTTTAAATGTTAAATAGTATGACCATGTAACCTGTTATTTCTTAAATGAAAAAAGTCAAAACAGTTTAGTTTTTTCTCAGATATTGAAATAGATGATTTTGTGGCAGCTGCTTCAATTGAATTATTTGTTTTTATTATATTTTTTGTTGTGTTTTTTTTTTGGGAGGGGGGTGAAATGGCAAAATAAGAGATTATTTTGTATTGGGACTTATTGAAAATGCCCTGTTACTTTTTTTTTGTATGAAAAAGTTTTCTATATATTGCGATTCCATGTTTTATTCTTTACTTTGAAGAAAAAGTCAGTGATTCATAATTGTATAAGTTATACAAAAAATCTGTGTATTGCTTTATTATTCAGTATATTATTTTATGATATTATAATTAGAAAATATGTTTTAATTTTTAAGCATAAAATTTTTAAGTATAAAAAATTTAGTATTTAAATTATACGAATATAATGTTCTATCTATCATGTAAACCCAAATAAGTTTAAAAGTTAAAAAAGAATATTTTTTTATTGGGCAAAACCCCGTAGTGTAAAAGGGTCAAAAAATCAGTCGGCTTTTTAAGGGTTTTGTTTATATTTTTAGCGCAAATGGGGGTCCCAAACAAAAATGTTATTACACTAGTGTTTAAATTGGGTTTTTTCAGGGCTTGTTTCCATGGTTTTTTTGATTAAAAAAGTAAAAAACAAAATTTCCCTACTTTAAACAAAAAATTTTTTTGCAAATAATTTACCTTTGGGCCCCGTCTGGAGATGCTTTTTGCCAAAAAGGTTTTTTAAGGGGCACTTTTTAAATCAAGGGGAAATTTTTCAATGGGCTAAACCCTTTTGTAAAAATTTCTTTACAATGTCTAAACATTTTATAAAGATGCAAAGAGTTTATTTTAAATGCACCATTAATCAAACAGTGTAAAAGTCAGTCGTCCAAATGCATTTTATAACTTTTGAAATTAGATATTAATTTTATGGGTGTTTTTTTTATACATTCTATATAGATTTGTAATTTTGATAATTTCAAACATGTAAAACATTTATGTTAAAAGATATAATGTATATTTTACGCTGAAACAATACCTACAAGTAAAAGCTGTTTGCATACATGTGAACTTTTTTTGATGATCAAGTGGGAGATTTTTCTTCAAAAAGAGGGAGATTTTAGAATTTTGCAATACACAAAAAAGGAAGTTCTGACATAAAAAATAGGAAGATTTCTTTAATTTGTGAAAATACCCCTTATTTTAAGAAAAATCTTTGAAAATATGGCTGCAGAAAGTGGGAGTCTCCTGCTAAAAGTGGTAGAGTTCACATGTATGCTGTTTGGTTAGCTCAATAGCTAGTGTTGAACTGTGAATCGGGCGATAGGGGTCCGATTCCCAGACAGTGCAGGTCTTTTTCGTTGTGATTGATCATGAAATCCTTTCTATGGTCATTCACACTGTACCTTTGCTCTGGTATGTACAAAAGTTATCATTTCACTGCTAAAGTGAAGACAACTAGTTCTGGTAAACTGCTTGACAGCTTGCCGAGGAACGATGCGGTGGCTGAATTGTGTTCTGGTAAATTCAGTGTAGCTTTCTACCATGAACCGAAGGGTAAACTAACACCGCCACCACCACCTTTCCAGTAATAAAATGGGGCAAGCACAATGATTTTTGTTACTACATGTATATGTAAAAAGGATGTAAAAGATTAAAGTCATATGTGGACATTATATTTATCCAAGTGATGATACTTTATACAAAAATCTGTATAACTAGCCACCCAAGTTTTAAACATGTTTAGAGTGATTTTGGTCATTTGTAACCAAACAGTCAGTATAGTGTTATTTTTATCAAGGTCACATATTTCTATACAGTGACACTCTTATTTTATACATAAATGCTTAAACAATTACTCTGTGTTGCACAAGTAAGGCTGGACATCATTCTTATTTTTCTGACTGAGAAGTCTGACTTTGCATGGTTGAAGTTTCTTTATGTCTAGCTATGCAACTTTATTCTATACCCATGTGACCAAAGCGAATGAAGATCAGCTGGCTTATCTTTCCTTTCTACGCTGTTTGAAAATCAGTCAGTACTTATTTTAAAATTTCCTTAAAAAATGATAAATGTTTTAGTCCAGATTGAAAAATGGAAAAGTCTGTTTTAGGTATTCAGTATGGTAAGAGTTGTCCCACTTAAGTAACTTCATAGTATTCCAATATGAAAGTTTGAAGAATTATTTTATTTTATTTTTCCTTTCATTGAATGTTTTGTATAAGTTAAGATAATTAAGCTTCTTTGGTTTTAGATGATATTGTTTGGTATGAAGACTTTGCATTATTTTTTGTTTTTTTTAATATAGACTTTGCAGTTGTAAATAATTTTATTGTTGTTGTTGTTGTTGATGATTCATTGTTTATACCAATTTCCTTACACATAGGTTGTTATTTTGTATTTTAAGAATAAAATTGATAAAATTCAACTTGTAAGTTTTGTTTTATTTACAGATAGTATACATATTAACCCACTTGTGTATTAACAATAATAATTGCTGTTCCAGGATTTGACTTGTCTGTGGCTTTTGTATATAGTCAGGCCAATCCGCACATCTGTGAACTCTAACCATGCTTTATATTGCTTGGAGCTCAATTGTAAATTTGATTAAAGTACTACATACTGGCATGGTATAGTACAAGGTCACAGGAGGACAAACTGTCACCTGAGTGCAGTAACAGGTTAACTCCTTATATGATGTAATATTAAGAGTTAACCTATTATTGCTCTAAGGTGATGAAACTCATTATATGCTATATTTGGCACCTCTACTGCGGAATCTGGTCCAAACAACTGACACGGATTAATTAAACAAATGACCAGTGATACTTTTGATTGCCATTTATCATCATCACATCATACCATCCACCAATAGATAACTTGTTGTGACCATGGTGCTAGTAAACTGAATCTGGGACTTGAAAAAAATTAAGACATGATACATTTTGGGTAAAATGACAACTTCAATTCAAGGTTCTATGCATCTGTTCTGTATTCTGCCTGATTACATTT